TAACCCGTATAGCCTGAATATTTTCATCACAGATGCCAACGAAACTTACACCAAGCGCTAGACATTCGATAAATTTCAACGCGTACACGCCACAGTCTCCAACTTGGATGTTCTGAGGGACCCTCGATTTATTCCTCCTTCTGAATGAAAACTGCTCGAACCTAGGTGGATAGATTTCAGGAGGAATTATTTCATTCATCATCTGAGGAATCATCCTCGTAAACGGCCTACAAGCCTCCAGCACAGATAACTCACTTTCCTTGGTATGATGCCCCACGATGCTATCATAGCAATCAATGTGCCCCTTAACCAGGTCCACGTCCAGCGCCAGCCAGTGATTGCCTCCAATTTGGTGAACTATATACAAGTGATCCACATCTTCTATCCATTTCATATTTGTCTGCTGATCTTTTGGCTCCAAACCGTGTACCAGCCTCTCGTAAGCGGTGCCTTTGAATTTAATCCTCTCGGGTTTTATCTTGAACTGGTCATACTCTTTACACCAATAGCTCACGAACCACGAGTCTATAAACGCAATGCGTTTGGTGTGGAATGGGAAGGGAACTCGCGTGATGAACCTCTTTCTAAGAACCCTCAAATACGCAGCAATATGCTGCACACAAAAAAAAAAGAAAAAAATAACAACTCAGACAAAACATAACAATAACTCAGACATAATGTAGAAAAACATACCAATAATTCAGCCATAATGTTGAAAAACACACTAATAACTCAACCATTATCTAGAAAATCTCAGCCAAAACACACCAATAACTCAGCCACAACACCAACTCTTACAATACCTCAGCCAAAACACACCAATAACTCGGCCACAATACTTACAATAACTCAGCCATAATGTTATACTTACGTCATCGTAAAGCCATCCATATTTTCGATCTGGCCAGTCCTTTCTTTCGGTGATGAGTATTCTGTAGAAATCAACAGTGTCTGTTGCCCTGCCCAATGGGAGATGCCTAACAGATAAACACAAGTTAATATACATAAATAGTGTAAAACAAGCCGTAATTAAAAGGTATAGAGGGTCATACTTGAATGGGCCATCATTTCCTTCAGTTTCTGCAATTTGGCCGGATCAACTGGTGACAGAGGATCATATATTCCAGCTGAAGGCACACAATTCTTCCTCATGCACGTCAGTCCGTTGTCTCCGATATGAGGAAATATCCGTTCAGAGACATTAGAGAGTGGATTCAATGCACTCCCATCCGGAGACAGCTTGACACTCTCCTTCCTTAGAGCGTTGATTCTTTCAATCCTTATATGTTCCTCTTCATCATCTTCAGACTCAGGTAACGTGCGTTCGTTACCAGCTAGCAACTGGTCTGTGACATCACATACGTCATTGTCACCTTTAATGCCAGCCTTTTCCAATACTTCCTCATCTTTGTCGGGGACATCAGCAGCCTCTTTCTTCTCATCAAGAGCAGCTCCTCCCTCCGCCGGAGCAGTAGCTAGTTTTCGTACCACCTTTTTAACCATTGTAGAAGAAGGCTTCCTACCTCTTCTACGTCCGACTGCTGCCTGAACTTTGGGGGCCTTATCTTTGGCGGGCTTATCCTTGCCGGTATTCTTCTTTCCCGCTGCGATTTTCTCTGTGTCAATTTTCTTGGAGCGTAATACCCTAGTATTATTAGGTAACGTCTCTATGAAATCAATAGCAGATTTGCCATCAATGACATTAGCAAATTCCTTTTCCAGATTCTTACTGACACCAGCAATACCAATGTCCTTCTCAACATCGACAATATCCTTCGCCTGCATAAACGTACCGATAACTCAGCCATAAGATAAAGATAACTCAGCCGTTAGGTGATTAATATAATAATAACTCAGCCATAATGTGATTAAGATAATGCTAACTCAGCCGTAATATAATGATAACTCAGCCGTAAGGGGATAACTCAGCCATTATGTGATCAATATAGTGAAAACTCAGCTACTAGGTTATTAAGATAATAATAACTCAGCCGCAATGTATTTATACATATGTCTGGCACTGTTAGCTTACCAGAGGACTAGTAACAGACTGGTTTTGTGGAGGTTTCGCTGGACCTTTTGGTGTTGCTTTTTCTTTTTGATTCAGCAAAAGGTTGACTTGCGTCGGCTTTTCGGGAGGTTCTGTTTCTTTGAAGGCTGAGTTTTCCTCACCGTTTTCACCAGATTTCCCTACCCCCTGCTCAATTGCATTCAGACGCTCTTTCATCTGTTTCAACTCCTTCTCCATATATTCAAACTTTTCATCCATCCTCGCTTCTACTCTATCTCCAATCACCTTCTCCATATTTGAAGACACTTCTTTGATGCTTGTATCAACGGTGTCAAACCTTGAGTTTAATTGCTTCACCAAATCCACGAATGTTTTAACAGACACATCTTCCAGAACATCGTCCTCCGCACTACCAACCTGGAACACATACACAAAAACGCATAAACAAGCTATCCAAACATCACATCAAATATAAACTCACTACATACCATATCATTTACCTTTTCTTTCTTCTTCTTCTTCTTCTTCTTTTCTGCATCTCCTTCACCAGATTCAACACCATCACTGTTGATCACATCCTTGACATTGTGGACTTTCTGCCTCTTTGCAGGAGATTCAGAGTCACCCGCTGCATTAGAATTTACATTTTTCCTCTTCTTCTCAGTCTTCTTCACATCCCAATATCCGTTAACAAACTTATCCTCATGTATATCTCGGATCAAATTATCAAGTGCTGGGTCCTCTTCTTCATCTGGCCACGTATGAAATAGCTCTCTGACATCATCCTTCATAACCAATTTACTCACACGCAGCTATAACATAAGAGATTATAAAACCCATTAGTAAATCAATAATTATAACTCAGCCATCACTAACCAACACTAATATAACTCAGCCAGCGCATAAATCAAAACTCAGTCATCAAAAACGATAACTCAGCCATCACAAAATTTAACTCAGCCATTACTAAAACATAACTCAGTCAGTAACTATCAGTCATCAAAAACGATAACTCAGCCATCACAAAATATAACTCAGCCATTACTAAAACATAACTCAGTCAGTAACTTTCATAACAGAGCCTAAACCTTACCTCACCATGCGCTTTGATATCTTCAGCAATGGTCAATTCCATTGTTTTACGTGTACGGTTTCCACCCCAACGAAGCAACGGTATCTCATCCTTGTTGACTACTCTCCCATATCGCTCTCCAAAGCATTTGACTGAATCATACGCCAAAGTCTGTAACACGTAAACCATACCACTGACGGTGTACGTCTTTCCAACAGGCCTCAACATCTTTATAGAATTAACCAGGGCTTCAAATGCTGACCGACCCCATGGATAAGTGTTCATGGCTTCCTCATCAAAAACTCTTTTCGCACTTTCAAATGGTATTCTAGAGTTATGATGCAAGCCATACAGTCCAATGGCTTGAAGAGTCAACAGCCCCAACCACTTACGCTTTTCAGGAGTCCATGTCCTGCACACTAGTAATCCTGCCCTCAGTTCATCTAACTTTGGACCTTCACCACCAGGCACATTCAATTCACTGAAGAACGCTTTGTAGTCAGCTTTAGGTTCAAACTTTTCTGTAGGGATTGAACCTGTGTTTAACCCCGTGATATGACCAAATTCGTTCAAGCCAAACCTGATAGGTTGACCACCAACTAGAAACCAAATCTCCTTCTTGTGTATTCTTAACTGTCTACACAGTAGAAAATGTACAGTCTTACCAGACCACACGAATTGGCTTTCAGCTAGCTTAGCAATTATTCCAATAGGTGACCCCTTTAGTTCATTCCACGCATCTTGTCCTATTGATTCTATAATCACAGGGACATCTCCCATCTTGATATTGTGATTTAACAATTTATTCTCCAGAATAGACTCCCCTTCTGCGTAAAGTCTTGGAGGGTAATCCCTTGGTTGTTCTTCAGAAATAACCTCAGCCATCTGATAAACCATAAATCAGCCGTAAGCATACAGTAACTCAGTCACAACATAAAACAAACTCAGCCACAGTTGAGCAGATAAACCATAACTCAGTCGTAAGCATAGAGTAACTCAGCCACAACGTAAAACAAACTCAGCCACACCATAAAACAAACTCAGCCATAGATGCATTGATAAATCATAAATCAGTCTAAAGCAAACAAAAACTCAGCCATGGAATCGAATAGATATAACAAATTAGCCACCATATGAAAATCAACGTTGGCGAAAATCAGCTGTAATAAGCGTCGATAAAAACCCTCAATTTCTTCGCGATAGTTTTCGGAAAACAGTTTCAATCACGGATATCACTCGCTATTGAACTTAGATGCGGGAAAAATGTCGGAAAATCCAAAATAAAGATTCGACACATACCTTAAACAAGTTGAGTTGAGACGAAATGGTCCCGACTTGAGGTGAGGCGACGAAGTAAAAGGTCCCGACTTGAGTAGAGACGAAATGCGACGGAGAGAACGAGAGAGTTAAGAGTTTCGGCCGGAATTAGGGTTTCTTAGTCTTAGTCGGAATCGCGTTTCCGTCGGAGAAAGAAAAAGTTTTTTCAGTTTTTTTTTTTCGGAGATGAACAGTGACAGAGAGGGAAATCGAAAGGTTCTCTTAATGACGTTAATGACGTGGCTTTAATTTGTTTTTCTTTTAATGACGTGGATTAACATAATTTTCGTTAATCATTTCTTAATTAAAAATGGATTAAAAAAAAAAAAACTAATCAAGGGTGTTAATTGTAATTACACAAAGACGCTAAACATATGAGTAATTTTTAAAAAATGTATGATATTCTAGTAATATTCGAACTTTTGGTTAACATCTGAGTAAATATTTCTAATTATTTTGATTCCTTTCCATTCGATGGACTACGATATTATTTATAGAACTATATGTCTATACATCTAACCTTTTTAGACCACGATGCAATTATACCTCAAATTAAACCCACACTTGATCAAAAGTAATTCCACTTAATAAATTAATGTTTTCTCCCATACACTTTTCTTGACGATCAAACATCTGAAAGATTAACTAATACACAAACACATCAAAAACTAAAAGAATATCTTCTTTCATTTAAAACTCTCTCTTATTAGATTCTCCCCATCGAGAATCTCTTGGGAACTAAACCGGACGCTATTTCAATCCACTCACCATCTCATGATCATCACACTTGGCTACACTTTTCCTGCTCTTCATTGGAGAGACCAGCCTCATAGCTAGTCTTGATGGCGAAAATGACCTCCTGAGCTTTGCAGCCGTTGACAGATTCTGCGACTTATTGCACACCCTAGTCGGAGATATCAAAGCTTTGGGTGACGTCTTACAAAAGTTACCATTTCTTGTCGGAGTTATTAATTTGTATTCCCACTTCTTGAGTTCCATATCCATTGTGCTCTCCACTTTCTTAGTCCCAACTTCTTTCCAATTTGTCGACAGTACCGTCCCGTTTGATTGAGCCTGTCAAACCCAAAAATCACCCAAGCATGCATATATCATCAGTCAAAAAAAAACAAAGGAGAAAGTTATAAAACTAAAAAAATAAAGACCAAAGAGAGGTTTGCTCACAAATGATTTGTTCATAGCTCGCCTCATGTCCTCATCTGCACTTGAGTATATGTCGCTGAAAAATTTGTTCATAGCCGCATCTCCATCAAGCTTCTCATCCTTCTCCTGAGGAATTCAAAGTGATAAGCAGAAAGAATAAAATTAAAGCAAAGCCTCTAGTGTTAAGGATGAGAAGTTTGCGTTTGTGGAACCTGTTTCTTCACTTCAGCTCCAGCTTGTCCCAATCTTTTGCTGGCTTAGAAGATGGGTACACTGGTCTCTGCGACAACGCTGCATATACACATAAAATTAAATGAGAGACCGCTTTGGCTTCAGTTTGTTTAAGCTCTTATACTTTTGGTTCATATGTCGAATAAAATATACCTTACCGAACAATCTCGGCTGGAGATGATAAGCTTCCTCTCCGGTAACATCAATGATAACACTCAGTTGCACAAAAAAAAAGCCAAGATAGATATCTCAAATCGATACAGAGGGTTAGATTACAAAGGGAGATAGGTTTTTAAGGAATGCCAATGAAGCTTCCATTGGGAGATGAAAGTTTCTTTTGATGGATTTAGGAAAACGTTATTTTGGATCGATGATGTGAGAAGTTGTCAATAGTTCGAGTATTTATAGTGGTTTAAGTTAGGTCACAAAGATCTTGATGACCAAGCATAGTATCTTTAAAATCATAACAAAATTGGAATAAAGGAATATGCCATTAGGTGTAGTAAGTAGTTCTGATTGCCTATATTTTCTCGAAAATATGCTTAACAAAAATAGAAAATAAAAGATCTGTTTCGATTTATTTATGTTATAATATTAGCATTAAATTGTAAATATTGATTTCCTTAATTTAAAAGTCATACCAATAAGAGATTATTCTTTCGGTAAAGTATTATTCCATAGCATTAAATGGTTTTATGTTAGAATTAAATATTCATAATTGATTTCATTAACTATATACATACCAAAAATGCATTACGTGATACCAAGGGATATATCAAAGATGAGATATTAGGTTATTACGTTTGTCAAAATCGGAAACGTAAATATTACGTTTAATGTCATGCAATAATACTTGATATTTTTTTTAGAAACAGAATTGAATATGAGCGAAAATTTTGGCAAGGATTAGTTGAGTTTAAGAATATTGTATGTTAATTTATTTATTGTCATTATCATTTGAATATTTGATTTCCATATGTTAGGATCTCAAATCTCGTTTTTTCAAAAATAGGAATTGTTAGAAGAGTTTATTAATTGATTTGTAAATTTCATTAAGACATATATTTTGTCAGATTTTATTTGTAGGGACTAAATGTACAATATTGAAATTGTAAAAGGATTTTTGAGGCCAAATCTTCACCAAAAATGTATATAGATAATCAAATAAAT